ATGGACAGTACGCGGTTGAGCTCACGTATTACCGCCATTTGCCTTGCACTCAAGAGAATAGGAAGCCAGGATGCATTAATTTAACTTGACTGGGAACTCACCAATGACATATCGAGATCATCGACATTTTCAGTATTAACCGGCCAGAGATCCCTGTAAAAGTTCATTTCTCGAACAAGTTATTGTTTTGTCAGATGGTATTTTCAAAAGTGGTTGTGGGTCAGGTACTTATCTGTGCTTTAAATGCTTCAAATAGTTTATGCACAATCAAATAAAAGATTTCGAAATAAGCATCAAAAAATCCATAATTCATAAACATAGCACCGAACAAAACCGAGTCGAAAAAGTTCGAACACACTTCACTAAATTCTATGAGGCTTCCCGTAAGAATTTTATTAAGTTCTAGGGGAATTCTCATGAGAATAAGCGCTTTAATCCCGCGAAACTTCCGTACTTCATTAAGTTTATTAAGTTTTGTAAAAGTCCTCATAAAAATTTCCAGCTGCTGGGAAGAAAATTTTATAGGATGATTCATAGAACGCTTGCAGTCCAAGAAAACGTCTCTTTATCGCCAGCTGGGAACTTATATGAGACTAGCTTGCACAAAGGTATTTTCAAGGATGGAATTCTCTTTGTGCAGACTCATGAGAACAGATTTTGGATGGGGATTTGGCGAAGATGAGGAAAGATAATTTTGAGATGCTTCTGGTCAAAAAAATTCCTACACCAGGAAAAATTCTTTGCACAAGATAAAGAAAACTTGGATTCGGAACTTTACCGATTTAATTCAAGATAGGCAAGTAATTTCACATCAGTGAAGGCATTCAAATAAATCACTCGTTCCCAGTATCGTCGATCCAAATCAGCACAATTTACTGAATAAAGTGTGAAAATCACGGCATAACACTCAGAGAAGAGTGTTTCAACAATAAAATTGCATGAAGGGTATAAAAGAGATATCCTGAAGCTCATCACTTCCTCACTTCGTTTGGTTATACTTCTGAAAACTTGCGCATATCTACTATGTGTTATAACTAGCCTTTATTCCGACTGGTTGAAGGGAATAGTTCGAATGGCATCACTTTTTTTTTGGAAAATCCTATCGTACATAATATTTTGATAAGATATACCGATACCGATATCATCTCAACATTTTACATACTTGCATTATTCATAAAACTGAAGCAGTGAGTGATTCCACGATTGAACAGATTTTCCTAGCAATGTTAATTAGTATTTCAGTAACCATTTACATTTATAACACACTTTTGTACAGATAGTGGTAAGAGTAAACAATATGGAGAATGAAGCAAACTTACTTGTCCTCAGCTAATTGTGAATCAGGGTCAATATTTTCGGATCCCAGATTATTATCTATACATGGTATAGGAGCAAACATTTCAAATGTACGAGGTAAATTGCTAAATAGCAATCTGGAAATGGGAAAACTGTACGGATGAGTAACATTTTGAAAATATTACGCGATATATTTTAGGAAATTGTAAGGATTCTCTATCAATTACATTATTAGCTTCACCTCATAACAGAATAAATTCTAGAATGTATACTGCGCAGTTCGCAAACGGCTTGTCTACATACAGCTCGATGAGTACCAAATGCACCATAAGAACCTGTGAAAACTTCAAATAAACCAAATACCAATCGCCGAAGTGGGTGATATTTATGCCTCAAGGCCTGCAACAAATGCGTACAAATAACGAATTTTTGGGTCGCGTTTCTACGGAGCAGATAAATGATAATCCCTGTAAGAGTTATAAAAATTCTACCAAAGATTAATGTCGGACCTCTTAGTTAAAAAGGATACCAAATATACCAGAGATGACAATCAAAAGTCCTCACGAAAGAAATTATAATAAAATTAGTTTGGATTTTATGTTGCAAAGAGAATATGAAATAGAACAAGCAATTATAGAAGATATGCAAAACTTCGGAAATGTACCAAATTCCAATACTGTTGCACCATCTCGTAATATTTATTCGACCATTGCAGTGTGTATTGTGGAATCTTTTCAAGATTCTCATCGAATGTAATTCTAAAAAAGGAAATCCTTTTAAAGCTTTAAAAACAGTATCAAATGATAAAAGCGATAAAAACGAAAAAAGCTGCAGATTTTCTAGTTTATTAAAGACAGATATAAGTGTAGACAATAATAATCTGATGATCTATAACTGATAATTACTGATAATCTGGTGAAGATTTTGTAACTCACAACTACAGACACTTAAATTATGAGAGACGGCATACTTAATTTCTTCTTTATTCATTCCTAAACGAATCTTCACCATACTCGATGCAAGAGAATTCCATACGGCAACACGACATGCATCGTCAGCAACTTCGCTAACATCAGCAGCATTTGCTATATGGACTGGAATACCCAGATCATATACTAAGAAACTTTGGAAAAGCTCCTTCCATTTCAGCTCTGCATCAGTTGTCCACTGAATTTCTGTTGGTGGGACATCACTGGAACGTAGAAATTACTTCAAAAATAAAAATGAAAAATGTCTGTCAAAGCTACAAACTGGTGAAGTTATCCGAAATTCACTTGTCTAACGAAAAAGATGTCAGCAGCACAGGCTTTTCCCTCCAGTAAGTGGCATTGTTGATCTTCACTTCACCATTGATAATGTCACCTGTCATCCGCCCTTCTACACGATCAAACTGATTCAGATAAAGCGTTCCCTGCAATCGTTTTTTCTTATAAGTTAAAATCCACTTTACAGATCTATAATATCTTTAAGAAAATAAATCAAATTCATTTATATTGTAAGAACAAGATACTTTCAAATAATTATATAGGACTAAGTAACCACTCTGACTAGTAAATCTTTTATTCTCAAAAATTTATTTTTTCTTTGATTTTTCATTTCTGTGATTACCTTCCCACAAGCAATACCAGCCTTCTCGAAATCGCCTTCGAAAGCTACTCCGGAATAACCGTCCGCTGCCGACAGCATCAAACGACCACGCTGCAAAACTGCAGTAAGCATCCAAAACAAGAGATTTAATACGTTTTCAGAAAACGTATCTTAAATAAAATAGCTCCGAAAACCTATCAGATTCGAAATGTATTTTAAACGGACCATTATTAAATGTTTTTCAGCAGATAAAATCAGGAATAGGAAAACCACAATCACCTATTCTTATCCCCTATGAAGGATATGAAAGATGAATATAAAGATGTACGATAATTCTAGAATGTTCTCGGAAATCCATTTGTCCTTGCGGATTTATTTGTTCCACATTGAAATTGCTACACCTCAAGCTTTTTACTTAGAAATCCAGAAAATTCATGAATGCAACTTATTCATTTAGATTGAAAATGAACCACTAAACGGTTGCTGTCGAACTGTCCCTCCTGATATACGCCTTCGATGCCTATCAAAGTACCCTTCCCATGCCTTGAATCATTCTTCCACATACCCAAATATCGTTCTTCTGAAGCAATATTTTATATTATCTTTATAGGATAAAAACATTAACATCTTCACCCTCATGAAGAACAAGTTCTCAAATGGTAAACATTATTTCAGAAACTGTGATTTGTGTACCAATACAATGGGGTTTTTTGTTTCCTAACCATACCAAGGCAAGGCTTCAGCAGGTACAATATTTTCAAAAAAAAAAAAGAAAACGATCACGCTTATATTCCAAAATTCAGTAGCTATAAAATTAATTTGATGACATTAACTTCTTTCAAAATTTTAACAAAGATGAGGTTAATACTATTGCTTGTAGAAACTCCATATCCTGAGCGCATTCCTGCCTGCCAACCACCGAAGTATATTTCCGTTTGATCACCTTTAGATGCATGGAACACGCCATAACCATGCCTTAGTCCCTTTTGCATATAGCCCTCATATGTGTCACCATTTGAAAATCTGGAAAAAAAGAAGTGATTGAACGAAATCATCTCTGCCAGATAAAATAGAAACGGTATGACTTGACGATGAGCATAGTATCGGAAGCTCCGATCAAACAACACAATAAGTGTGGATAATTCTTAGTTTCCCGTATAATTTCACCATAAAAAATCTTACGTGATATGAGCTAGCCCATCTAAACAGCCATTACGCCAAAAACCAGTGTATATATCAACTTCCGACGTTCCTTCTTCTTTAGCTCCAAAATATGTGTTGACCTTATGGGAATTTCCACCTATAACTATTGACATTTTTCCAAACCTGTAAATCTTCATTTATTCTTCCTAGAATATCACTAATAACAAAAAAAGAAAATAGAAATACTCTTTAAATTAATAAAAATACACTGTAACTGAAGTGATTAAATGACAATCAAGTTACTCATATAATTCGAACCCATATAATTCGACTTCATCCCTTCATTAGTTGACAAAAAATGAAGTTTGCACAAATCACTTAGAAAAACATACATATAATAATCATCCACAAACTACCACTACCGCCAGAAATATATATAATTCATTATATGAGCGTAAAGAGAAAACACTGCAATCGTTACAGTATAAATTACATGAAAACTAACATACCCTTCTAAACGTCCATCAGCAAAGTGTCCTCGGTATTCCCATTTGTCCATATGCACGAGATGCCCTCTACAAGAAACAAGTCGAAAAATGGATGATTAAGTATATCAGTAAGCTTGTGAAAAATCATACACAAATTATTGTCGAACCAATAAAATATAATAACCTCAGCGAAGGATTTGTAAATTCGACAGAGTTAGGGCTATAGACAAGTTTTTATATTACTTGATAATAAGCAAACATTTATAACTTGCTGTATATAACCATAGCTATATATAGCATTTATAACAAAAAAAAGGAAAAATATAAGAAAATAAGTTAATTCTACTCAGTTAAAGTAAGGAAAATGCAAGAAAGGAACCCATGACAAGCTAATTTTTTTGAGGTAAAAATTTCACATTGAAAGATTTGTGAGAAAATTGAAAAGCTTCCAAGTTTATAGAAGAATGAGCCAAAAAGGAAACCTTCCATGGGGTTTACCATATAACCAATAACCATCATAAGTGCAATTTCCGAAATCTGGATGATGAGATGAAAATTTATAGTAACCACGTCGCCGTTCGGGTAATTCGGTAGCACATCGTTTCAAAATGTCATCTGTTGTATATCGTTGATCGAAATGTTTCCATTGTCGCATGGCATGCAGAAATACATTCTAGAATGACAGCAGATAATTAAAATAGAATTCACCACAAAATTCATTTAGTATTAATGATCACAATTAATAGTGCTTATATGTGATTTTTTCGAAACTTCTGAATAGATGAAAGAGAAATCAAGATTGCATAAAAATGCCACAACTGGAAAAATTCTGCAAGGGAAATCCTTTCTCATGTAAATTCACATGCCTAAAATCTAAGCATCCTTCGAAATTCTTAGGAAACGATAAAAGAAAGTCCTCTAATTAATGTACGAAATCTTACTGGAACTAAGCAAAGATATATTTGAGTATGAATTATATAGATTCATGCAGTATGTTATTTCACTTCCTTACGACAGTCATATTTCCTTGTGTCCAACTATCTCAAAGTTTATTGACATGCAGCCCATTGCATGTCATAACATACCGCATGAATCTATGTAATTCATACTCTTTCGTGGTATTTAATCAAAACTTTTTTCTTGGGAATATCATTAAGGAGGTAATGGTGGTAAAATAGGGATAAATACGTTTAATGATATGAGAAAAGCATAGAAACATAGATTTGTACTTATACAACACCTTGCATTCAATGTTTGTAAATCGAATGTGAAATTTGTTTTCTGGACCAAATACCCGTACCAGACATTCGTTACCTTCCTCCTCGTTTACTTCTATCCAGACTAGTGGAAAGTTCAGCACAATAACTTCTTGTCTCTGGAATTTTTTTACAATTTCTTCCTCTATTTCATAAATATCATTTTAAATTTCAAAATTTTTACTGTCATCCTAAGAAAGTAGGTACCGGAAAATATTTGACTACGATAATCGCGACAGACTGCATGTAGAGTACCAAATCATTTTCCGGAGAATTGCTGACGTCATCACCAAGTTACAACCAAAATGTCCCAAACAAATCAAAATGTTTGGTATTGCAAACAACTACATAGTATTATCCTTTATTCATCTCAAATGTTCCATGTTTCTCAATAAAAAATGGCTTTTCTTAAACCGTATGAGCTTTTAAGATGTCTTTGTCCAACTACTTTCCAAATTATCCTGATGGTGATAATCGTTTACAGTCTTTGCTAATCTTAATATAATATATTTGATTAGGTGTGATCAGAAATTCTATCATTTTGCTTTAAATAAAAATTCATTCTAGAACACCTCAATAACTGCAACAGCGTCATTGAAAACAGCGACCGTAAGCCAACCACGTCTCACTGTAGTCCATGTTGAATTCCCATACACATTTATCACACCTGCTGTTTCTAGCTGTTTATTTTCCGCCTTCCACAACAATAAACGAGCCGCTTGTTTAAGCTAAACAGAAAATCTTCATTAAAATATTGCTAACCAAAACGATCCCAAAATGACTGCTAACCGAATGGTACATAAATTTGATTTGCAAATTTTGGACTGGTGAATAACGAACCGATCGTGCATGTGTAGGTGCACACTTCCAGAAATGATAAGTATTATCAGCGATGGTGCCCAGATGATCCAGTTGATATTTAACAGATATCCAATAGCTCTTCCATTCCGCTAAGAAAATATCGTCTCTGCTCGGCAATATGTTTTGAGTACTTCCGGATACCTATAAATGTTACACACCAAAAGAATCCGATTTATTATATTAAGTTGTTGAAAGGGCTTAATAATATTTGAGAAAGTTACTCGCCAAATTGTTGTTTACTATTTTACTGATCGCTTTCATATTCTCCTTCAATTTAACAGAATTTAACAGATAGGATACTATCCATCAATCTTTCTTTTTTTTTCAAAGCGCAAAAAGGGAGAGGGAAGTCATGATTAAATGAATTCAGCAATTATTCGGTAATTTATAAAATGTTGACCCGCTGAAGTCACATCAAAATTTATATTTTACATAGCAAAGGTTCACTATAAATCAAAAGAAAAAAGCGTAATTGGAAAAAGTTGGAAAAAAAGATAACAGTTAAAATAAGCCAGTTTATTGATTGGTAATTTTTATGGTATGAAAAATTAACGCACTTTACATTCAATACTGCAGTTATTAATCAATGGGATCGGGTGGTCAGGTGGTCATAAAAGCACAGGTTAGTCCCGAATAAAATACTGAAACTGCAACTCAAATTACCCTGAGGAGTTGGAAAGCGGTATTATCGTTTTCTTCCTTTTGCCTTTCCGCTTAATGACTCTCTTTGATTTCTTAGTTTTAAGCTCAGATGGTAGTGACATTTTCACTTAAAATTAATTAATTAATGAGGAAGTCAGGCAGCCGGCAAGGCATAAATAAAATTTTGGTTAAGTTGGATGGATAATGGCTGGCGAAAAGATCAACAGGATGGCTGTATTCAAAATCATTTCATTTCTTGAATCCAGTTAAATAGAAATTTCAAGATATTTAGACGAAACTGAGATAAAATGAAAAACGAGTGGTATGAAGTTACATTTAAAATCTATAAAATGTTATTACTGGAATCAGGGATTGTGCGAGAACTGAATCATACCAATTTTTTGAAGACGAATCTTTATTTGAAGACATTCCAAAGGGTAACTGGAAATTTTCTGGTGATATTTATGAATTATACTGTTTTGGAAATTCACAATTTCCTCCGTTAAATAAAATAGCTATTACAATTTTTCTATAAAGAACACTCAGAAATTTTTTGGAACAATCGACCTTGACATCTACCAAGCAAATCGATAGCAATTAAGAAAACTGTTAAACGTCAAGAATTCAATTTTTTTCAAAAATCCAAATGCATTGAACCATCCGAACTATCACGTCATGTCGAAAGAATGCAATAAATAAATCATCCCCTACCAATAATTTGAAAAATTTCAAAAATCCCAGCTAATATAATGTGATAAGTCAGATCGTTTGTTCTAATTTAAAGAAATATTCCAGACTGAACATAAATTACTCACCGGTAAATGTTGTCCGATTTGATGTACCCCATGTCCATTAGTTCATGCGGAAAACTTGGATCCCTTAGTACAATATATTTTTTAAGTAAAAATAGGTCATTGTTTGAGGGACCATTTATTTTAGTGGGAAACATTTAAACGAACTCCATTGTTCGTGGGACAAAGAAAGTACTCAAATGACACCCGATGTTTTTTGCTTGTTACAACAGTCTCACTCAACTTCGTATAACGTTCTATAGAATAAATTTGAAAAAAAAAAAACTTTTTTTTTTTGGATTACTGCCAGTTCCATAAGCAAACCATTAGAACATCGTTAGAGACAACTTATCACTGAGTTCATATATTTAACCTTCAAGTTATAAATTTATCAGTAACACTATTCGATGATATTGTTTAATATGATTCATGAAAAAATGGGTGAAAAATTATCCCTAATACAAAAATCGATTGCACTGCAAGCAACTAGGCCTTCATTGTTGACGTCAACTGTCACGATTCTTTGCTATAAAGGAAAATGAACGAGACTCTTGCGCTTATGGCAAATTAGAGGCTCGATTTCAAAGCAGTCTTGGAAGTCATCCTTTTCCAATTCCATGTGCAGCTTTGCAAACTGAGAAAACAATGCATATTATGCAATACTTCCTAAGACTACTTTTTTCCTTGAGGTACTTGGTAAACTACGAGTGTTAAATTTATTATTCACTTTTTAATATCGTGAGCAGCAGTAAATCGAAATTTGAAACCACTTTTTGTGCAAATAAATTAGCAGTCGAAATTTTTGTTCTAACTTCCACATCAAACATAAAAATACGTTTTCCGTTTAACTTCAAATAAATGCTGCATAAAATTTCTTATTTCTCTTTCCTAGAGTGAACTAATTTCAGGTGATACGAAATTTAATAAAGCAGTCAGCCTTTCTCAATTCCTGATATAAAATTTAATAAAGCAGTCAGCCTTTCTCGATTCCTTGTTCTATTATATACCTTCTAATCCAGATAAGATTAAAATTTTAGAAGCACACTGCAGTGGCAGTTAAATCTGTTTCCTTCAAAACTTTCATGATAATTGACTCATGCAGATTTTCTTAAGTGAAAATTCTGCTGATTGCTCTTTCCAGTAATCTGTTAACATAAAGAACTCCCTACACAAATCTGAGTGATGCCAATGATATTTCACTCCAGTTCCACAAATGTCAGATGGGAAAACTTTCGTAACAATTTTACGGACCTTTCGGTGGTCTGAAATGTAAACATGTAATAAAAAAAGGACGAAACAGTTTGTTGTCTTTTCGATGTTGCTAAAGCATTGCTAATCACTCGTCGATATTTCTATTCCAAAGACGTTTTTTATCATTCAACAAAATCAGTAGAAGAAAATTTTATTCCTGATGGAATTCTATGCGCCGGAATTTAAGTCGACTTTCAATAATAATTCCTTCTCGGAACCACTCGTCACTTGATTCAGTCAATCGAATTCTACTGCTAAATATATTTTGCATGGGCGTTCAGAAATATTCTCTCAGTACTTTCAAGCATTCTTAATACTCTTCACTGATTGTTGAAGTTAGTAACTTTAAACATGAAAACTTAGAAACCTAAAGTCTGTCCCACCCCTAATTTTTTTCAAGCCAAAGCTGAGAAAAACACCAAAGATAGGAAGAAACAAGCAACACATAACAAATAAAAGGAAATATAGACATACATGAAGCAGAAATAATTTAAAAGTACTGAAGATTAATTTTAATTTTACTGGACTAACGAGTGCTGATAAAAAAGTATTAATAAATTCAAATAAATATGGGAAGATCATTATTGGTGATATACGGAGAAAATTCTTCCAGTCTTTTTTTCTTTTTTTGAATTCATTTGATTCTTTTTTTACTTCTCATTCTGATAAGAGATCTTGCACATTACTAATTCTTTTACCGTTTACTTGATGATCAGATAAATTGACTAATAAATAAAATGACTAGTGTAGTGAACCAATTCCCCGAGAATTTTTTGAAAGTCCCAATGAAAAATAATTCAAAGAGGCAATTTTATCTTAGTTCATCACCCTAGTTTTTTGTAACATAATACATATTCTTCTTTCCGTTCTTTTTCTAATTTCTTGAACAAACCTTAGATGCATTCGATGAAAAGTTTAAAATTCTAGAAATTTTTCAAAAATCTTAAAAAATTTAAAACATTATTTAGCTTGGAATTTAAGACATGTTTCTAGTTTGCACTTCAAAAGAGCATTAGCTATTTTCAATGTTGGAAATTACTTCCTTAATAAGGAAACTCGCAAAAAGTAGAGAACTTTGCTTTCCGAATAAGATCTAGGATAAGTTTCATACGAAAAAAAACTGAGCGTTTTTTTGAAAAAAATGCAGAAACAGAAAAACTATCAATGATAATATAATGACTAATTGATTAATGACTGCTTGCAAATTTTACAGTAATGAAAAATAACGAAAAATCTCTTGCTAAAAATCTAAAGCTGAAACAGCAATATTTTCTGCAGTTATATAAAGACTGAAAATTTAGAGAGTTCTGGAGGTAATATACATACCTATAAATCGCACAAAACATTCCATTAGCTTAATCGCCTGTCGCGGAGTTCCTCGCTATCACTGATATCATTTTAAGTTGATCATATTTTAACAATATCTGTATGACTTCTGTTATTATGACCGTCTATAACAAAAACTGACAGAACAATTGTAGAACAATCTTGATGATAAGGATAACTGAGTGAGCCAACAACAGCATTAGTGATAGCATCATGACATTAGGAACACTCTTGTCTTTACAAATATGAATGAACGGATAAATTCAAGATAATTATCAATTTGAAATCACTGGCTAAGTAGAAAGGTTCATTCACACTACCATATAAAACATCTTATGAGATTGTAATTCAAGAACTTTCGGACTCAAAAAGTAATTAAATTTAAATGCAAAATCGTTTAAATACAAATAAATTTTTGGAAGATTTTGTGCCTTGACACAATAAAATAAAAACTGCACCTAAAATCCATAAAATCATAAAAATTAAAATTTAATTATAAAAATCATAAAAAAACACAATTTCTAATTCTCGAGAAGTTGAAAAGCCAGATAAAATTAAAAAAAAAGAAAAAGAAGATGCAAAGTAAGATAACTATCCTTTTTCTTATCGTCATTCGGCTGAAAAAGAAAACACTTAGAAAGTTCCATGTGATGCAGAACTTTTCACGGCGACGAACCGAATAATCTATCATCAGTTTAAAGCAAAAATATATTTTTTTCTAAAAAAAAAATGAAAAAACTTGACACTTGCAATTTTAGCTCGAAATTATCTTAACTACCATTAATGTTTCCCTTTTTTTACTGGAAAAATTTAGAAAATGAAACTTTGGAAATCAATATGTCAATTTTATTTTCTCAGTTGCTATTTTACCGTTCTGCACTGATCCCTTTTTCATTTTTCTAATCAAAACTTCAAGAAAACGGCAATACAAACAGCTATTAAGGAGAGAAGAGATACAATGGAATTTGCCAAATTGGGCATCAGCGGCAATCAACAAGGATGGATGGCCCGCCCCTCCTTGAAAAAAACTTGAAATCATCTATAAATGGAGAGTATCTAGTAATTCCACTTGACTCACTGGGTTTGTTACGTTGTTGAAGACACATTCCTGCTATTCTGACAGGTGTTACTTTAGTCTTCAAGAAAATTGCAGCACCGCAAGATGTCCACTTTTAGTTCTTCTCTGTTTACCACCGTTGTTCTTGCGATATTTTTGCTAAAGTCCGTCATATCCGATACCGCTTTTTTTGGTTCCACAAAAAGTATTACTTCAAAAAGTAACTTTGGCTACTATCCACCAGCGGGTAGGTGTTATTTGTTGGTAACATTTATTTTATCATATCTATGGATTAAACTATTCAAGAAGACAAAATTACAAGAAAAATGAGCTAAGAAATGATGATTATCTGTGTAACGAAACTGATCAATAACATGACTGACAATGCATGCTCCCTCGTTTCTTTTACTTTATATACTAAAGATCTTTTGACCTACTGACAATTGCAGTCTTTTTTCTACTAATCCATTAATCCTTTCATCTTCACAAAAGCAACATTTTGGATATTTCGAACCAACCAAAATTCAATAGTCAGAATTAATCTACAAAAATTTAATTATGTTCCTGTACGAAAACTAAATTATTCCAGATAAATGACGTAACATGTTAAAAAAAGATGAAAATTCCCAAATAAAATTTGAATAGGGATCAAGCGAAAATACAACAATGGGAAGACAACCTTTGGTTGTCGTAGGCTCACTGTAAAATTTCTGCATATAAACGGCCGATATAGTTACAGACTTCTAAAGTTCAAGCAATTTCGTTTGCCCCCTCTCAGACATAAGCGTAAGTGTATGGTGCAACAACGATTTAATAAATTCCAATCAAAATCATTCGAGATTAAGCCCAAACTTTGGAAACAGTACTTAATACTTTTATCCTTCAAAACAAATAAAGTAATTAAAATGTGAGTTACTAAAAAAAGTTTCATCACTCTATTTCAGAACCGGATTACCCGCCGGCAACGCCCTATCAGACATCTGCAAAGTTACCAGTAAGTAGTAGATTACGGTTTGAAGATGTTTTAAAGATGTCAACGAATCCAGACCATGATAGGATCTACGGCGATAAATTATCAATACAGATTAGTTCGGTGCCAAATCTGACTAATTTCAATGGGAATGATAGAGGTGCCTCAGAATCAGAAAATATCGGCAATCCAGCTCGCTATTACTTATATGGAGCACACTTCCAAAAGGTTTGGATTAACCTGAAATTTCCATAGCAGAAATGCCAATTTTTTAGGTTAATAGATCTGAACTGTTTGATCATGATACTCACATACGCCCAATTTCGGAAGTCATAACTTTCGAAATGACTTTCGGAAGTAAATTAGTCTCATTGATATGTCATCCTGTTATTACACTTTTATATGATTTCATCGGTAAAACCCAATTAGTATTAGTAATGCTTAACAGCAAAAAATCACATAGCAAGTGGAACATTGAATTCCTACAGGTTGATTTTAGATGACACTGTGACGTTATACCAATGTATTTCACTCTCGCATATGACTGTTGCATCTTAAAAAAATAAAGGGCAAAAGTGTTGGGTAACACTCTATTCCGAAACATTCTTCGAATTTTTAATAAAAGTGCAAATTGAATAAACTGACTATTCTTCCCTTCAAGGGATTTTTTTAAACACATATTTTACTTCTTTAGTCAGTCACTTACCACTTCATATTAGCTTAAAAGAATTACCTGCATTCTGATGAATTTGAGTATTTGCCAAACTCAACACTCATAACTACCTTGGTGGGCATATTTTTAACAAACAGTGACAGATGAAGCGTTTAAATTGGTTTGGGAAATGTACAAAAACGAGAAATCACCGTAGAAAATTAGCTCAATTTAATTTACTGAACTAATCATTCATTTATTACAATCAGTAATTTATTTAAACAAATTTCATTCTGTTACTTCAGACCAAAGCACCGACATGTCGTCTGACCTCATGCCATGGACCGCATCCAAACGATGTTAGTTTATTGATCAACAAGGAAAAGGGTACTCCGAATGAAGAATGCGAACAGATCTTTGTTCAAATGAATGGCTGTGTGGCTCATAAAGGTTATCCGATCGGTATGGTATGTACCATTTGTTGCCAGTGTACCAAACAATTTATGAGTGCAATGAGTCATTCCCGAGGTTTTCTAAAACCTGATTGGTTGACTAGAGAAAGATTTACATTTATTTAACAAGCCGAAAATTGTTAAACTTTGTTTTTTGAACTTTGCTATTTATGTATTCATTTGAGCTGTTTTTTGAATATTAAGTGGAGGTTTTGAGTCTTAAAATATTAAAACAACGAAATACAGCAACTTTGAAATACAAATTTCCTTAAGGATGGGTAGCACAATTGGAAATTTCAGAGGAAATATAAATTTCCATACTTATGAAATTTAGTGAAGTTAAATGCGCAAAAAATTTCGAACAATCAATTTTGTTTGGTTTTATTGATAAGATAAAGAATGAGCCACAAATAGTTTAAATAAATTAATGCATTTATGACTATAAACTTGTCCAGTGCGTAAATAACTTGCATGGCAACTTTGGCGGGTAAAACCAATATATTTTTTAAATTTAGTTCTAAGAAGGAAAGTCAATATTTTGAAAATCCTCAAGGAAATTCTGATCAATAGATAGTAGAAAGTCGAAACTGTATAAAAGAAATATGTAAACAAATTACTCAATTAAATCTCACCGCGTAAATTATCGAACTACACTTCGAGTTATCTCTGTTAACAATGAGCTTTTTTTTTTTTCTGTATAGAAAATGCCTTTATTTATCACTAACCAGCATTGGAATTTTTACCATATTTTCTGTGAAATGCTTGTTTTCATCGCTACTCTAATCTTACGTCCCTCTAAAGATAAATTTGAATTTCAAAATGAATAGTATTTTAAATTTAAGTGCATTTATTTCCATTCTCGTCCCTACTTTATCTTCTTTGCTTAAAACGTGGGTTTAAATTCTTTTGAACTTACTCAGAAATTTTACAAAAGTCAAATTAAGAAAAATTCTCATTAAATGTATGCAAAAGCGGTTCGTTTTGTATTTTTTTTTTTGTTACTTATAAATTATTTACTGAAAGCTAATTGAACAGAACTTGTCTTTGCGCGACATAAGGAAAAATTATTTGTAAACCACAATACAGGAACAGTGAAATCTACCATACAGGCTTGATTCCATCACCAAAAGCAAAAAAAGTATGATGTAGCAAAAACGAATGAGAATCAGAGCTAATGGTTCAATTTGTACAAAAATATAAAAATGGGTGAATCAAATCCAGTTGTTTTAATTTTG